AAGGTGGCAAATGGAATCAGGTATCCAGTATTTGTTTCAAAAAATTTTTCATGCGATTTTTTGTTGTTTTCTCCGCGTTTACAATCAATTTAATTATTTGTTTGAAAACCAGGCAATTTTTGCATAGTTTGGTTCGTCATTTTGATTGTAAATTAATCGCCGAACCCTACAAGTTATTCATTCAGGTTGTTCAGTTAAAAAATTATGTAAAAGGCATGTGTATGGGCACGTATGTCATCAAATTTGGCATAAACCGTTGAGTGTTTTTGACCAGGGGCGGACGCCCTTTCCTCAGGGATTCGACCCCCTGCCGACCCAAAGGGTCCCCCCTTTGATACTTTTTCAGAAATCCATTTTTGACCGACCGACCCTAAAATTTTTCTAAAGGCGCCTTTGGCGCCAATATATACTAACTTTGAGGGGGAGCGCGCGCCAAAAAAATGCAATTTTTTTGTCAAAATTTTTCAAAAATTGCCCAAAAACGGCTGTTTTGACTGTTTTTTCAAAAATTTGCCTGCGGCGCACAAAATTTAGCCAAAGTAGGGGCAAAACAGTGCTTTGGGAGAGCTCGAAAAATCAATTTGGTCGACCTAAAAAAAAAAAAGGTCGTCAAAATTTTGGAAAATTTTTTGAAAATCCGCCCCCTCCCCCCTCGAGAAAATCCTAGATCCGCCCCTGTTTTTGACAACAACATTTTAAATAAAAAACATTGATTTTTGCATCCAAACATCGAAACTAAACTTTTGAATCTGAAATATATTTTGTCTCAATTTAGACCAACTGTGGAAATACTTCCAACCATCGAAACAAATTTTGTGGACAACTGGGTAATACTGGATCACGATCACGGAGTACCACCAATGACTTGGAAAGGGAGCTGGACCTGGAAAGTGTGTCTTCACTGGACAACTTGAGCTCCCTTGGGTCGACTAACTCCTCATCATTGGGCATATACGAACAGTTGCCAACCGGCTCACTGGATCATTTACTCATGCAATAATGACGAAAAGATTCCATAATTTTGTTCGAATTAGTAGCTTCGGAACTTATTACATTAAAACTGATAATTTAAGTAATTAAATCCAATCTTAATGCTTTCAAATTGACAAATTTTGTGTTTATATTAAAACGTTATGTTAAAATAAATGAAAATGAAAATGTTATATAAATAAGGATTAACAATGAAATATTTCATTCAACAAAAAATCAAAAAAATCCGTGATGTCCGAATTATCACATTGAAGTTTTAATTTTCTTAAAATTTGTTTTTAGCAAATTAATTTGAAAATAGTTATAATCTTTGGTTTGAAGATAATAAGGAAGTTTGGAAAACATTCAAATCGAAATTTTGCAAAACATTACAAGGCCAAATTGTGTATTTTGAAATTTGTAGGCTGATTTCGCAACAGACCAAAATCAGATTTCGCAGTGTTGCTAGTTATAGCTAAACCACTGTATCGCTCAAAATCGCTCCAAAATCCATTTATTTTGCGGAATATGCAAAACAATGCACAATCCTGAACAGTTTCTGGAAGCCACAAGCAAATAAATAAATATATGTGTGCAGCCAAATTGAGCTGTTGAGGAATCCGCAACTGTTAGCGGAATCCGCGAGTTTAAGCGGAATACGTAAACGGTGAGCTGAATTTCAGTTTTGTTTGTGATTGCCGATTCCAGTAACAGATATAGTTAAATCTTTTTTTTTACTCGATACTTGCAAAAATTACAAATTTCAGGATCAGATGCAACCGGTTGAAATAAAGTTTAAATTTCAGTATTGCGAGTGCAAGCTATGGTATAGCTAAGGGATATATGTATTGAATTTCACGATATCGATTGAAAATATTGATATCTAAACTGAATTTCAGGATATCGAATGAAGTGAATAATATCTATGGGGAGCTTCAGGATATTCGATGAAGTGATTAACTTTACATGATGACGAAATTACATGAAAGATTTTTAACTGCAGTAGACCATTGACGAATTGTACAATTTTGAACATTGAGCTTGATTTTGATTTTTTTGAAATGTTTCCTAAATTATGATCCCAAAAACAACTTGCTGGGAAGTTTATAGGGTGTACATCAAGAATTTTTTAGCAATAGTTTGAGATTTGATCGTGACTTCCAATGACAATAGCTAGGTTCGTGCTTTGATTTACCACGTTTGATAGATATTAATTCTAGTTCTAGCTATTAGCCATTCACTCAAAAACATATATCGATTTAATAAAAGACATATGCGGAGTCTACCTACATGATGCGGAATCCGCTTGCATTTCAGTAATCCGTTTAGATTTCAGGAATCGAGAGCAACTTGCTATATTCGCTGGTTGCGAAATCCTCAGCAAATTTCTAAGTTTTCAAAACAATTTTCTAAGAGCGTTTTCTAACCAGTTTTCATTTTCAGAACGATTTATCTATTCTGCTAAAAAAAAACTATATATTTTGAAAACATGTGAGCTACAGGACCAGAGTCCTTACTTTTCAAATTTAAGATAATCCACTTAGTTTAACCCTTCAAAGGACCAATTATAACCTTTAACAAGCTTAAGCAGACATACCTAGTTTGGAGGCATCCCTAATGCGCAAAGAAACGATTGTGCAAACATTTTGTTAAGCAATCAGAGCCCATAGTCAAAACATTGAAAGCAACTAATGATAATTTCAGTCGGTTTGGGCAATTTAAAACCATTGACTGGTTGAGAAATTTTGCGCATTTGGTCTGCCGTGCCTGTGAATTGCATCCATTTAATTCTATAAAAAGAGCATTTCAGTTTTAATGTTAAGTTTAAAATTAGATTTTAGATTTGCTAGCGACAAAATTGAATAAATTTCAACAAAAAACGATCCCAACAGAATGACGTGTGTACCATCTAAAAAGTAGTGTTTATACACAACAGGATTTTTTTTTATAACAAAGTTGTTTGTTTTAGTGTGTAGATCTGAAAAAAACTTCAGTTTAACCGTTTAAAGTAATTGGTGTCAAAACAAAGCAATTTTTTAAAAATTTGTTTAGAATATTTTTTTTCTCTTCTCTCCTTAGGTCAGGAATTCTATTTAGAATGATTTCTCAGCTGGTTTAACTTGCAGACAATCCTAAAGGCGTTTTAAAACAGAGCAAGCAAAACATTCCAAAATGACAAAATTGATGAATTTTGAAATCCTACAAAAAAAAGAAGCGTTTCGTGCTAGACAAGCTTTTGCATTTGTAATATATTATCAATCTAAAGTGATTTTCTTATATGATTGGTTATTTATCACAGTATTTTTCCTCCTGCTGTTTTTTATTATGAAGTTTAGATTGCTCAAGCTCAACAAGTAACCCAATCCTACCAAGAAATTACCCAACCCGTCATTCTAACTTGCCTAAAATGAATAAAAATTGTTCAGCTAATCAAAAGGATTTTTGCACTTTAATACCTGGAAAAGTAAATTTAAAAAAAAATAATTTAGTTTCTTTAAATCTGTAACACAAATTCAGAAACATTGTTCTGTTTTAGTTTGTTTGATGGCTGTATTTTAGTTTTTATCAAAATCATTCTAGTTTTGATGATCTTTTTTAGTCGTTTGTACATTCAATGGGAGTTGTTGGCAAAAAATTAATTTTAAAAGTACCATTTGAGGCATAATTTGATTAGCGAGGGTATCGAATGCCTAAAAAAGGTTCTTAAAATACTCACAGTCCGATAGACTAAAATTTCTTAGTTAAAAAGCTAGACATATGCAATTGAAAAAAGGATGGCTGATTGCTGTGCGAAGAGCACAGAATGTTCCGATATCATTCATAAAAAATTTTTCTTTCTTTTTCAATTTAAAGCATTTTTTAGTGCATGATGTCATTTGAGATTTATCTCAACGCGTAGAAAGTCAATGAGGCTATCTGGGCCTACGCGACAAATTTTTTTTTTTTTCAAAAACGATTGACAAATAAAAAAAATGAAAAAATAGCAATTTTTTGTATCTTTTTCTAATTTTTCGCAGAAAAACTGTTTTTTTTTTGCAAAACCTAATTTGCCAAGGAAGCGCTGAATAAAACCTCCAGAACTTGTTTTTTTAGTAAAATTAAATTTTTGTTACCTACAAACCCAAATAAAAATTAAGTTATTAGCTTGCTTTACTTGCACGGAATCGAACTAAGACTCAAAAATTACCAGTTTTTTGACACTTTGAAATTTTTGATGATAGTTCAAATCACGGCTGAAAGGCCTTTAAATCGATGTATCAATCGTTCCATCGTTCCATTCTGAAATTAATTTGTCGTATCTGATTTTGCTGGAAAACAAAAAAAAAACTAAAACACACCCGAATACCAAGTTCCTCCCCATTTTCTTCTTTAAACAAAAAGCTGGTCATACTATAAAATATTCAAGACAGTTCAAAAGTGTTTTTGAAGTTTTTGACAGTTTTCGTGAGCAATGATGCAGTGCATTTGGTTTTAAGAATGAGGAGAAAGATTGTGAACAAAAACGCTCATCCTACATTTCTCATTTTTAAAATCAAGTCTCAGAGCAAGTTACATGCGACTTCTTAATTCCTCCTTTAAATTTAAATTTATGAATTTTAATGTTATTTTAATGAAGAAATGACTTTTCATCCTGTTTTTTTTTGTTTTTGTAGAAAGTGAGGCTCAAAAATGGCCAAAGGTTTTAAAGCTTTCATGAGTCTCATGAGTCTCTAATTTTGGCAGGCTGCAGAGAACCACAGGTGGCTTCTCTACATAAATCAGAAGATTTTCTCAATTTTATCAAAAATAGATAGTTTAGGTTGTATCTCGTTCTTGCACATTCTTGCTCCAATTGCTTGTAGCTATTTTCTTAGCTCCATTGCTCGCAGTTAATAAAGAAAAGTGTAAAAAGAAAAATTTTGAAGCTGAATCACATCTTTTAAAAGAAAGAAATTTGAAGCTTGTCCGATATGACACCACAACAACTTGAAAGCTTAAATGAAAGCGACAAATTGTAAGTGTTTTTTCTAAACAAAAAACTATTTACTCACATTGACCATAGTTTGTGCGTCCGCCTGCACGTTTTGACTGTTTAGCAGCAGTCTAACAAGAGATTCATGGCCAGACTGGGATGCCAGATGGAGAGGGGTGAGTCCATACTCTGGCCCACTCTCATTGTCCACATCCGCTCCTTGGGGGGCACTGCTGGCTAGGTTTCCAAGCACCTACACGAAAGGAACTGAGAAACCGTTTCCCCAACGGTGAATTTTTTTATAATAAAAGTTATTTGCCTTGAAATTTTTTCTATTTATGGTCTGAAAAAATCTTTTGGCAAAAAATAATGTCCAAAAAGACGGCTTTCACGGTGAAATATATTGTTTTAAGTGGTTCTCACGTCGTGCAGTAGCTCCTGTGCGAATAGAGTCTGTCCGTACGAGGATGCCACGTGCAGTGCATTCAGTCCACTCTTCACACTCGTGTGAGCCAGATTCAACTGGAAGTCCCGGAACACTTCCAGTTCCCCGATGTGGCCAAATTTGGCTGCCAGGTGGATGGCCGTATTGCCTTCCTGATAACAACACAACAATTGACATTTGCTAACAATTTTCATCCTAATTGCAAAAGGGATTCCTAAGAAGATACAGAGTTCGCATATGCGTAATTGATGATTTTTTTTCAATGCAATAAAAATTCATGCTATTAACCATAGCGGGATTATTATCAAGATACAGAGAAACAAATTCAGCCTACAGAAATTGGATACGCGTCGCGAAAATGTCGACGAACTGTTTGATATTTTTTTTTTCGAAAAAGCCGTGCCATAAGTAAGAACCCAATATGGTAAGCAAATGTTTTTGTTCTGTGATGAAAGTCTCCGATACAAATTGCCACAAGCATTGAAAAAGAATTTGAGCAATTTTTCACGCAAAGTCTTAAAATACATTTCTTCAAACTGAGTTTTCACCGATGATCGATACAATTTCAAATTGAGAATGCATTGCAAAATGAAAAAGCTGCTCGCAATTGAAACTCAGAGTTGTGGTTCGTTGTGAGTAGTTGCAGTACGGATATAACTCACGGAGTTCTCTTCTAGAGCCATGGCTCCACTCTCGATGAGTACTCTGACCACTTCAGTGTAACCCCCTGCAGCCGCCAAGTGAAGTGCAGTAGAGTCAGTCGTCTAAAGTATCAGAGAGTTTGAAGCAAACTAATTACGACCTATGGCATTGACCTATTTCAGATATTTTTTAACTTGTAAGGGCTGGTTTTACAAACAGAATATCTATCTCAAATTTTAATTTTCGTTTTTTTGCAACTTATTATACAATGCTGATTTAAATTTTTCTGACAGAACTATTACAACTTGAAAACAAAACGCGTTTTTTGTTCAATTTGGGTCGACTTTTGACAAAATAAGATAAAAACAAGCCTCGCTAAGACTTTAGCAAAATTATTATGAAGCATTATATTTTGAAGAAATCGGGCCCGAAATATTACCCCAAGAAATCCAATGTTTTAATCAATTAAAATTAAGCCAAAACAATCGGTTTAATTGCTGACTATTCTGTATAATAAAGAGCCTTTCATCCGACCCAACACAATTTTAAAGGTATACTGTTCTCAGACGAATACAGATTATACCCTTCCTAAACTTTGTTAAGCTAGACGAGAGGCTCACTGCAATACAATTTTGTCAGCAGTTAAGTCGATAAATTTGGGGCAATTTGCAATGATTAAAAAGGTAAAATGGATTGTTTATAAGGTAAAATATGGAGCGCAATTTTCCTAACATAAATTACGCCATAGTAATATAGCTAAAATTTTAAGCAAGAACTGTCTTCACAAGTTTTGGCCTGAAATTGATCCAAGAAGAGAAAATCCGTTTCAAATTTCAAGTTTATATGTTGTTTCCGAATAATTTAAATCAGCACTGTGATTATTGCAGTTATAATGTAAATTATTCGGACAAAACGAAAGAAACTTGAAAAGTAAAACACAATTTTCTCTAATTGAGTTGCTTTGAGCCAAAAACTGATGATGAAAAAACTTGCTTCGAATATTAGCAGAACGAAAAGATGAAAGTTATTTTGCAAAAATTAGACACAAAAGTTTTGCAAAAAATGGATCATTTTTAGCTTTTGTCGGTCAATCAAATGCGAGGTCAAAACTACCGGGTGAATTACTAAAAAATCATTCTGTTGTAAAAAAAAATTCTGTACGAATGTTGTAAAATTGATTCATTAGCCATCAAACAAAAAAAACTAATTTATGCAAACCTTTCTTAAACTTTGTTGGTCTACATGATGGGCTCACATTGTTATAGTTTTGTTAGCAATTGACCCGGTAGTTTTTGCGTCATGTTTGATTCAGTGATAAAAAAACAAACCGTTTTTCAGTAAAAAAATTTTGCCCGAATTTCGGTTCAGCTTAGTTCATATACTGATCAGTAGGCGTATCGTATCGCCCCCGGTGATCAGCTCTTAATTTTCCTCCACTGTTCATCTCGTATAATTGGATTCTAGTTTTCTTCCAATGCCTGATCAAAATTCAGAACTTGTTGATGTTTTTGCTGGCTACAACCTCCTCGAGTGGGTTTTTCCGGTCAGTTGTAGCTCTTACTGGGAAAAATTTTTTTCTTACTTCAAGGTTTGCTTTGAGCACCTTGACTTTACAGTTGTTTACTCTATAGTCACGGTCGTTTTGCTCAAAAAATCCTCTAGTCGCTCTCCGATCGTTGTTTCCGTATTTCCGTTGTTGCATATTTTATACATTTCGATCATGGTCCTGCGTCTCCTGAGTTGGTAGATCAAGAGAAAAGATCCAGAGAATTCGGCAAAAAAAACAAATTGCATCATAATAATTCAGCTTCAGTTCTAAGCGAGTTTTGTATTCATCTTTTGTTTGTCTAGAGTCAACAGAATATGAGAAAAACGCGTTTTAAATTTCAAGTTTTATTCGTTTTGTCCGGGCCCTTTAAATCAGCTTTGTATTGGTCAGCTAGGTAAGTTTATTTAAAAAAAAAAACATTTTTTTTTCTGTGAATTTTTTTGGTCACTTTCAAAACAATATGGCTCGTCGAGTTTTGTCTGACGATTAATTTTACATTTGAAATTCACTCGCTCAGTAGTTTTCTCACTTTCTGAACAAATAAATGTTTCCCGTAGTTTAAGAATTGAAATTAATATGCCTCCAATGCGCCTAATCCTATAAGTCTGTTTCTTTTGTACAGCGTAGGTTTGTTAAAGTTATTCACCCTGTTTTTATGGTTGACCACTCCCTCCTTGTTGAATCTGAGGAGTCCCTTGATGACATTAGTGGACCCCTTAGAAGCGGCAATATGTGCACAAGTGTTGCCATCTTTGTTAGCTATGGACACTAGCTCTGGTCTGTTGTTGAGGAATAACTTGACTACATTCGAGTGGTTGCTCTCTGCTGCCAGGTGGAGTGGAGTTTGACCTTCCTGTGAGCAAAGAAAAGTTCAAAGGTCAAATCCAGGTAGAACTCAAATTTAGTGAAGAATTTGTCCCTTTTCCACACTCTCAGCCACATTTTAAATATTATATTTTCAGATTTGTTTTACGTGTTTTTATGGCTAAATACGTGATGCTACGACGTAAATTATCAGAAAAAAATCTGTTCACAGTGCTAGAATTTGTTCACCATGCCAAATTTCATGTTAAAATGGTTTTTAAAGTATGGATTCAAAAGTACGTGTTATAGGAAGTCGTACTGAATCGTAAGGGTATAGGAGGAAAGCTTTCGGCAAAACTTTTTGTGGGGAAAAAGGTTCATACCGGGAAAACTAAAATAAATAGCGAAAAAATAGAAATTTTAGCCGTTTTTGCAAAAATGAAAAAAAAAAGACGAGGAAAGGCGGTCTTCTGCAACCAAAACTGGCTCTTTTCAAGTTCCCACCTTCCAAATTCAATTTTGAAAAGCTCATTTAACGTTGTGAAATGAAATTTGGCGTGGTGAACAAATCGACAACCGTGAATAGATTTGTTCTTCATACTTTACAGCGTAACATCACGCAGTTAGCCGTAATAAAACGTAAAACAAACATAAAACTCGGTATTTTGAAAGGGGGGAACTGGAAAAGATCCCCAAAATTTCAATCTTTAATTAAAAAGATATAATCGAAAGGTTAAGACACGTTTCATCATTACATCCAGGCTCGCAAATAAACACGTGCAAAAAATCAAAGTTTGTCCACAACTGACCCCGTCGATGGCTTTGGCGTCGGCTGCGAGGCTGATTAAAGCATTGCAAACATCCAACTGTCCGTTCTGAGCTGCCATGTGCAGGGGCGTTTTCTTGGCCTAAACATCAAATTATGCACACGATATATGATCGAGAAATATTTTTATTAGCAAAATTGGTGATGTAAAAAACGGCAATCAGGTCACCGAGAAAACGACGTGCAATATCTTAATCATCCTCTAAAAATTATTAGGCTTTTTCCTATCCTTTAGACGCCAGTAAAAGCAAATTATAGCGTCAGAAATAATTTTTCCATCTTAAAAGGCGACGAAGGAAGGCGTAGAAACAGCAGATTTATGCGTTTCAGGCCTTGAAATGCACATATCTGCTGGTCTCTGGCATTCATTCTCCCATCATTTAGAAAAAAAAGCGATAAGGGTCTATGTAATTTTTTGAGTTGTCTTTTATTGCGAGTTGTCGCGGTGCTATAGCTAACAGGATATGGTTGTGTTTTTTAGTTTCTCCGACTTACCAAGCTGACAACATCTACAGTTGCGTGGTGCTTGACCACCAGCAGATTCACCAGTCTAAAGTGTCCATTCATGGCAGCCAGATGCAGAGGGGTCACCCCTTGTTTGGTCCTCGCATTCACAAATGCCTGCATCTTCAGCAGCAAGTCACATGTCTCCACGTGACCATTGGCTGCTGCCCAGTGCAAGGATGCGTTGCCATGCTACAAACAGAATAGCAATTTTGCAACGTTTAACACCCCCACCCCCGAATGTGCGAGTCTAGGTTCTTGTCGTAGGGGAGTGGATTGTCAAAACTGCACCTTTTTTGGTCTACTGAATACAGTGCTGATTTGAATTATCCGGACAAATTGAATAAAAACTTGAAGATTAAAACGCGATTTCTCAAATTAATTTGATTTTAGACAAAAAATGATGAAGACCAATCTTGCTTAGATTTTTAACAGAAATATTATGGTGCAATTTGTTTTGCAAAACTCCGGCCCAAAAATTTACCCCACAAACGATCATTTTTGGCTTTGTTTAGTCAATCAAAAATTACTCCAAACGTTTTATTCATTTACTGACAAACTATATCAATACAAGTTTTTCATGTAGCCCAACAAAATTTAGCCGGGTATAGTTTGCTCAGTTTTGTATAAACACAATTATTTTCGTTTGTGAGCCAAAAATGTCATTTTTACTATATAAACACAAACTTTTCTAAATAAGAACATTTTTAGCCCATTTGCGGGCTACATGAAAGGCTTTTATTGAGGCAGTTTTGTTCAGTAAATGAGCAAATAATTTTGGAGTAATTTTTGACTTTTTGATTGAATAAACAAAGCCAAAAATGATCATTTTTGGGGTTAATTTTTGGGACCGAATTTCGCAAAACAAATTGCAGCATAATAATTCAGTTAAAATTTTAAGCAAGATTAGTTCCCTTCAATTTTTGTCTAAAATCAACCCAATTTGAGGAAATACGTGTTAAATATTTCAAGTTTTAATTTTGTTCGTATAATTCAAATTAGCATTGTACATGTCCAGGGCACCGTGAAACGCAAAAAAGGGGACCGACCTAAAACATGGATAAAAGTTATAACATGGACTTTTTACCAGACTCGATAAACAATTTTGATTGACAGGCTGGATGACGCCTTTAGTCTGGTTAAAGACAATGGCTTCACGGTTTCTCAGCGAAGTTTTGTTTGTTCTAACCGCTTGCTTTTCCTATCTTCCACTAATTTAGATTTATCCTAATTGAATTATTGCATTGTGGTCTGGCAAAGAGTCGCAAAAAAGAAGATATCTGTCATGAGGCTCAAAAATCATATTTGCGTAACCTTAACCATAATTTTTAAAGGGAACAGATTAACAAAGGGGACTGTTTAGATTCAGCGAAAATCGCATTGGGCGAAAATAAAATGAAATAAATAAAATTTGTCAATGACAACAGTTTTGATAATAAACGTGTATGTTTTAGCAGAAAACCCCCTAATAATTCACAGCATTTGTAAGAAGCGGTCAAGGACTACAAAGCTGAGCGTCATTTATTAAGGTCGTATATTGTTAATATAAGTTATCATCAAAACTTCTGCCTTATAATAACACTAATGTAAAAAAAACAGATCTAGAATCATTTTCGAAAAGGTTAAATTTTAGTACTTGAAAGCTCCAGGGTTCAGGGGCACATTTAGGATATTCCCGAGGGAGAAGTTTTGATAATTTTTTCAAGTCGACCATTTTGATTTTTCCGAGCTATCTTAACGCATCATAAAAACACTAATCTTGGGCACTTTTTGACCAAAAGTTGTGTTTTGTCGGGCTAAGCTTCCTCTTACAATTAATATATATTGGCATCAAAGGCTCTTTTAGAAAAACTGGATCTCTTTAACTATTTCGTTGCTAGGGAAATTCGTTACTAGGTACCAAAGAGGGAAAATAGTTTAAAAAATCCGAAAAAGTTTTGGGTCAGTTGGCCGAGAATGGATTTAGTAAAATAAAACCAAAGGGGTGACCCTTTGGGTTGACATGGGGTCGAATCGAAACATTTCATAAACATTTTTTGAGAAAGAAGAATAAAAAAAATGAGCAAGCTTAAGTAAAGATTAATTGAAAGAATGTTTTAATTTCTTCTCACCTCATCGAATACATCGACTCGTGAGTTGTTTTTAAGAAGTATCTTCACCAGAGAGTAGTGACCCTCTTCACACGCGACCAACAGAGGAGATCGGCCATCCTGAAATCAGAAAACAATTCAATGGTACAATTAAAGGATCTTGGGGTAGCAAGGGTTATCTATAACACTTCAACACTTCTTTTTTTATCTTGATCAAATTGACTGTCCAAGCCTTGCCGATTTCCTCAAAAAGGCAACAATTTAGGCAAACTTTTCAATCTCCAACTAGGTCAGAACCTTCTATGGTCTCCATAACCGTTCCCACTTCTAATCTAGTAAGAGAACGGATTGCGTTACTCAGCCCAAAAGTAGCATGTATTAACGGCTTAGGGGTGGATTTTTTCTAGGAACCCTAGGGAGTACCCGGGTTGACAAAATGTTCAACCAGGCGTTGCACCATGTATGGTTCCATGAAAGCCATGAAAAACTGCGGAAGCCATGAAAAATATATGGCGCGACTTATAGAAACTGAGAAATCAAATAAATTCAATTTTCTCGTGGGCTTTCAAAAACTGCTCCGAACGACCTCAAAGTCGTTGGTAGTAAAAAAAATTTTTTTTTGCCATTCAGAGCAAAAAATGCAAAAAAATCTCGTTTTCACTAAATATCTGCACCAAACTTTCAAGGTTAATAACCGATAGAATATGATTTTCGACACAAAAGTATAGTCATTATAATTGACGTAAAACGTGCTCTTAAAGTAAAATTCTGACCAGACTCTGTTTGTTGAGTAGGAGCTGTACATTTGCAGGGCCCAGGAACTCCACCACCAGTTGGAGTAGCTTCCCATTACCCCCACGACACACATAGTGTAGAGCTGTCTCATTTGTCTGAGAAAAGCAAGGAATCAAAGTTGAAATTATATAACTCAAACTTTTTGAGTCAAGCTTTAAAAAAAATTCCTATTTCTATATTAAGTCTCTGCAGACCCTAAAATGTCTAAGTTATGAAAACTTTCTTTTAATGGACCAGTCACATGAAAACAAAAAAATGTTGGCATACATATTATAAAAAGCTTTTAGACACATTAGAATACAATCAACTAAATTGATGCAAACTTTCAAAAAAATTGAATGGAAAGACCTGCATAGTAGCATCTTGTGAAACTTTTTTAACAGGATGTTTTTGTACAATACCGATTGTTTCACACATTTTTCTTCACAAAGTTAACCAATTTTGGTGCTTACGAATTTGGTGGTAAGTGAGAATTCTGGATCGAATTTGAGAAGTCTTTTCATAATTTCTACTTCTTCGGCAGTCGAGTGGGAGAGGTCAGAGGTCAAGTCACATGCATAATGCAAACACGACTCTCCTTCCTAAACAGAAAAACAGATGTTTGAACCTATTTTACGAGCAAAAAAAATTCAAAAGAAAACTTGAAAAACGACTAAAAGAAACATACATTTTGTTTCAGAAGACCGATATCTTGTTAAATTCAATAAATCACCCACGAAAATCACTCAGCGTATAGTTTTCAATTTGGTAACTTTTTATATGAGAAGTTAGCGAACGCTTCTAGGTGTGCGTGCTGTGTTCTCAAAACTTACATGCTTTCATGATAAGCTGGCATTTGAACCAATTATCTCCGGCAGAATACAAAAAATTTCCCTCTAACGCACCCTTGTTATAGCAATGTATTAAGAAACAAAAATTGAAAAACTGAAACTATTTGGTCAACATTTTCTTGTTACGCGAACAAAAAAGCCAGTTTCGAGCTCAAGTGTTTTTTTTCGAGATGCAGTTGATAAACCTCTGCGCTATATGTGTGCTGTTTCTGTCACAATATCTAATTCAGGTTAGAAGTCGCGTTACAAAATGCGATGAATCCGTGTCTCGGCAGGACTTTACCACATTTTTATCTCGACCCTAGCTTCAACATATATCTTAAAGTGAGTGTATGGTCAATAGCGGTGAAACTTTGACACTTTCAGAAAAAAATATGGGTTTTTATTAATAAGCGATGCCGAAAAAATTTCTAATTTCTGATATTTCTATTTACGCGATGCTAGAACCGGTTAAGTTAATTAACGTTTTCAAGATTCTGAACTGATTGAAAATGATTTCCTGAGATTGCAAAAACATTATGAGTCCAAGTCAATACAAGTTCAGTTGAATTGTTTCAAAATATTTTGTAGCTGAGATAAAGCGAAACAATTAAAATTGAAAATAATTGAGCCTTTGCAGTTTTTGAGAAATTTTGTGCGTTTCACAACAAAAAGAAAATTTTCAAGCTGAACTAGAACTAAAATTTTTAGCAAAGTGAACTCAATGAAGTAACCAAAGACAGATTAGGAAATGATCTGATTTTGGAAGTTTGCTATCATCGTGTTGATCGAATGAAATTTTATCGCATAAATTTCTCTGTGATCGGAATAGCAATTAAACTCGATTTGTGTGTTTAATTGCCTAGTTTTTTTGTCTCGAGTTAATTTTGTTTTTAGAAAACAAATAAATGAAACCAATGTAGAAAAAACAATCTCAATCAATGTCAACCAATTTCGTTTTAGTTTGGTTTTTATAAGGCATTAATTGGGTGACCGCTCGACTAGCATAAAGCTCAACTAAAATTAAAAATCGAAAACATGAAAATAAAAAGGTCGGCCAGCAGTTTTTTGATAGCTTTACTTCTCAGAAATACAAAGAAATAATAGTAATCTGTTCAAATTGAAACTTGCAATTCTGAGAAAGAAAATTCTGAGAAACTAGCTAACCAATAAAGAAATAAATATTCTTGACACATAAATCTCCCGACCTGTAATGGCTTAAACCGACCACTGATTGCCGCGCAAATTGTGAATTGTGCGGAACAACCATGTTTTTTATATTTTTTTGTGAATGATGATTTGTGTATGATGATCTTTTGCAATTATCTGTACCTATGCAATTGCATAAAAAGTGTATGACTAGCATTTTTTCGTATATACAAACTGAATGAGTTGCATTTTTGGTCAACCTGGGTGTTTCGATTTTAAAGCTAGTAGATACAATTTTGACTTTTAAAACTTTTAAGCTAGTCGAGCTTGATGCTAGTTGATATGCCGCCAGTATTTGGATAAATAAAAATGGCTAAAACCACATCATGTAACTCGGAGTCGCGTTGGTTGTTCACTTCTTTACCTCAGTTGCCACGTTTTCCCAAATAATATTTTTGCTGGTACTTATTTACGACGTCCATTTTTGGTTGACTAACCCAAAATCTTTTAAGGCACCTAAGGCGCCAATATGCACTTAATTTAGGACAATGTGACAAGACAACCATCTGAATCAGGTTTTAAATGCTTCAGAATCTAACAAAACAGAGATGAAATGTTTTGGTTACTCAAATACAGTGTGATAGAAAAACAGCCTCTGATTTTAAAAAGAGATTTTAAAAAATAGTATGTTTTGATAATTTTTTCTATGAAATTTCTTCTATTTACACTCATTTAATACATTTCTCTGAATGAATATTGAATGTCAGTTATGCTTGCAACACTGAGTTCGTGGGCAAATTAGGATCCTTCCACGCATTGAACAAACTTTTGTTTCTCATCAAACTCAACTCGTGGGTCAGATGCTCGTTTGTAATCATCAGCTTTTTCTGATTTTCTTTCAAAGCCACAACCGTGCTTTCCAAATTTCTATACTTTCCTAATTCTGTTCTAAGATGGTCAATTTCTGATTTCATGCGCACATTTTTGTTCAAGTTTTGGCACTTTGCTTGCATCTGGAATTCATTGAAATCATGTTTCAGTTGAATTAACTCTTCGTCCGTTTTTCGTTTCATTTTTTCAACCGATGATCTTTGAGACTGTTCATATCTCAGTTGGTCTTCGAGCTGATTAACTTTCGCTCTCAATGTGATCAACTCTGACTCTTGTGATGATTTCACCTCTCTCAACCTTTCGCTCAGCTGAGCGTTTTCCAGCCCCAAACTCTCGATTTGTTGTTGTTGTTGGCTTATGATTCGTTTATTATCCGATACAAATTTCCGAGTGTAATCTCGAAATGTTGATTTCAGAGATGCCAGAAATGTGGGGTTTTCTTCCAAACTTTTTGGACCTTCCCAGAATTCTTCGACCATGTGCATAACTTGAGAAGTGAACTGATTTTCAGCTTCTTTGAATTCTTTTGAAATTTTAACTCCACACGACGAATCCCGCTCGGAAATTTCCCGGACTTTCTCGGATTTCCGAGAAGAACTATCCGATCTTCGGTTTTTCCGTCGGCAGCTTTCGGAATCGTATCCACCCGAAGACGAGCTTGAGTAGGTCGGGCTGGGAGTAAAGGTAGCGTAGCATCCTTTGAACTCCTTGTCAGTATCCGAAGAGCTTCCGCGACCTTCTTGAAAGTGAGAACCGGATTTTGTCACTCTATAGACGTGGTCGTATTTTGAATTTTCTGAAGCCTTTCGAGGTGCTTCATGTATATTTTTCCACGACTTTCGATCGTCTTTTCCGACTTCGGTATCTAAAACGTGCTTCAGTTCACTCGTTCGATAGTCACGTGCTTCGATTGTCCGACTAATTGGCATTCTTGATTCTGATTTGTTTTCCTTAGGACCAATTAGATTGACGAAATGCTGACTGGCTTCAACCTTTTCCGCATCTTTGATTGGACGATCGTCTAGATATTCCAAATTAGGAAGGTAACTTATTAGAAGTTGTCGGTAGTCCGCGACATGTTTAGAAACCGGGTTCAATCGCAAGTCTAGTTTCTTGATGTTCGGATTGTTACGTAATAACTTCAAGTCGTCTAGGGTTTCGATTTGGTTGTAATAAAGATTTAGGCTTTCTAAAATTTTCAGATGTTCTAGGCCATTTAAATGGGTTAGCGAGTTTCTAGAAAGATCTAGTTCTTTTAGTCTCGTAAACCGATGTAGAGAATTGCCGAGTGTCGTGATTTTCTCATGGTATGTTCCAGGTAAGGAAAGGGCTTTGATATTGTCGAGTTGCTCTCGTTCTAAATTTAACCTTTCTCGGATCCATTCTTCGGTTAAATGGATGTCTTTATGTGCTTTTTCTGCAGAACCAGCGACCATTTTGCCGGTCAAATGTTCTGGGGATAAAATCAAAAAATATACTTGAAATATTTTGTAGATCAGTAATCTTAACAAGTAAATTTGAATCAGAAAAACATAACAAATTTCAATTAACTGATATGTTCAATTACTGACTAATAATTTTTTGGTATTTGTAAATTTTGATAGAAAAAAATGGGCACCCACAATTTCTCCAATTTTTTAATTGAGTTTTAGTAATACATAACTTAATAATAACACAATGAACTGTGAAGTCGCACGGTGTTTTGACTCAATTCTAATTCTAACAAAAATCTCTTTTATTTAAACGAGATTTTAACACACGTTCAATATAAATGTAAATCAATTCAGCAACAATACCTGTGCTCACTTTGAAAAAGAATTATACATTTTAAAGCTGATTTTCTGCGCACGACGTTGTTAACCGCGGCTCTGCAGATGTTATACATAAAGGTGCATTTTAAATCACGCATTTGTTATAATCTGCTGTATCATCATCGCTGAAAGTAAAAAGTATAAATGATAAAAAAAGGTCTTTTATTTATATTGTTCCCCGCGATGCTTAGGACAGGAAACTGTAAAAGTGACTCAGTCTGACAGGTGTATTTTTTCCACCTTTTTGATTTAAAATCCCTGATTATCATTTTAAAGTGTTCATTTTTGTTTAAAAAGCATCGAAAAAAAGTGCATTGTCCCTTTTCACAGTTAACAAAGAGACAATTTTCTATCGATAATTAATATATGATAAAATTTTAATGAACGTTTAATTGGGTAATTTCCTTTAGAAAATGAATGGCATAAAACAAATTTATGAAGAGCGGAAATTACGTTCTAGCCTATCACAAAATATCATTGTTCTCGTATGCAGTCACCTGGTCATCAAAATTTGACGAGTTGGGAGGGAAGGCAGAGACCAAAATGGTTGATCGACTTTTCCTAATTTACTGAAAAGACACCAGTAGCAGCGCAGTACCAACAAGTTTTACGCAACAATTTAAAAAAAAATTGTTTGGAAAAATGCTGTTTTTGGTCTCGTTTGTGGAGAGAACAAAAAGAGAGACCCCGTCTCCTTAGTGGTAAAACATACCTACTAGCTGCGAACACTGATGGGAGGAGGAACTTTAGCTTATGGTGTCTTTCTTCATGCAAAAGTGTGAACCACAAAAAATTCTTAAAATTGTCTCAGTGTCGAGGAAAACTAGTCTGCATTTTGTCTATTTATACTCAGTGTTGAGGAAAACTAGTCTGCATTTTGTCTATTTAGACTCTGTTAAGAAAAAAGAGAGGGCATCTTTTTTCAACGGTGAACAATTTTTCACATAAATTTTTTTAACTTTAGACAATCACCCTGTTTCGAAGTTTTGAAGAGACACTGAGAAAAAGTATATGTCAGACGTTTGATAAGAAAATGTTGTTCCGACCACTGAAAGCGGAGAAAACTTGGAACTTGGATGTGATATAATTTTTTTTCTTTTTTTTTGCAACGCAAAATTGGTATCATAAGTAAAAGTTGGAATGGGTCTAGTGATAAATCATTAAAAAACCCTTGCAGTTTATGACCATAGCCACCATGAAGAAAGACACCATAGCCTAATTGTTGTGATAAACTTATTAAATAGTTTCATAGAGTGATGAAACACTAGTTGCCATTCTTTGGGCACTGACTACTAACTTCAGCATATTATTCTTGACACCAACAGCACCATTATTCCTGGCATTTTCCTGGCTTCACACAATGTCAACACCAATGCTTCTGATGCTGCCCGACGACATCACGAAACTCAATCCCGAACAAAAAGATAAGTACTACGTTCAAATATATAACCTTGTCAATGTACTAGCAACATCCAGTAATCCTCCAAACAGTAATCAAAACGCAAAAGGACTCAGAGCACCTATTGATTTTGCTGCCAAAGTAATCCCTACTGACACTCAAAACTTGATTATTGGTTCGAGTTTTTTAGCGGAATTTGACACGAAGGAGCTGCCCAAAGACGTGGCCGTTCACTCTTACCGCGGGTCATTTTGCAGCGAGAAACAATCAGTTGTGAAAAAGTACGACGATACTGAGCTGAAATCAGTAACCTTCCAGGACGGCACCAATTCCCTCACAAGGGAACTACACAAACCTGTAGATGATATATTTAAAACTTTTTGCGCCACCATTAGTGAAATTGAGACAAAGTTTTCACCTGCAATAATCAATATATGCCAAGTCCCGCCTGTGAAATCGGGACCCGATTCTGTAAGTGGTAAACGTATAACTGAATTCACCAGCCTTATTTCTCATAAATTTAAGGAAAAAAAGTATCAAATTGTTCCTATATACGATAAAATTGTCAGCATAAACGACTATCAGTCAATCTCCTTTGATGAAGTACATTTGATGCGTTCTGTTAGTATTTTAAAAAATGCAATCATGGAAAAGGTGCTACCATTATCCAGCTTATCACCTCGAGTTGTTTCTCCGAATACTTCCAACTCTAGGGGCCCAGCGCACCCTCAGAGGAATCGTATGAAACCTGGTTCAAGCCAAGTCTCGTGTGGCCCCGAGCACCCAAAGAGTCTTGCGACCATAGTTTCAGCAACAATCAAACCTACAATTATATGAATACCAATCGTAGTAATTATGACTTACGCCATAATAGATACTATCCATACTAATGTTGTTTTAGTAGTCTATTACCCAATGATTTGGATCTATCAAATTTATGTTTAGCCAATGACTTTTAAAGACTCTCCTTATTTTCTCCCTTCTAACTAGCATTCCCATTAATTACAATGTACCCAACAGCACCGCACTACTCAAAACTAGAAACATGACGTCTAACCGCCACTTTAGATTCACAGCAGGCATCTATTGCGCAGTTGTGATACTAACCTTTCAGATTGGAATGTTGGAAATCCTGCTTCTTCAATGTGGGGACATCGAAGTCAATCCAGGTCCCGCACTTTCATATGAAATCCTGGCAAACAAAGCAAAGGAACACCACAACTTCCTCAAATATATAACTCTAAATTGTAGAAGCATAAAGAACAAACACATGGAAATACGTTTCTTGTCAGAAATAGTTGACTCAAACACAATTATCGGTCTCACGGAAATCTGGCTTGACAAAACATGCGATCATCAAACTTATTCATTCTGCAAAACAACCCATGAAATTTTTAGATGCGACCGTAACAAAAAATGCACTGGTCAACACGCAGGTGGTGGTACTCTTCTTCTTATTCCATAAAAATTTAACCCTAAGATTTGAGAAGATTTAAATTATCTACGTCCCTCCCATTTTGAAGGACTTTGGGTGGAATATAGCCCAATCATCTCAAAAAAATCAAAAAGACAGATAATTGCTATTGCCTACAATCCACACAAACAATTCAAGGAAATTTTTATATAAGATACACTAAAGGGTATCGATTACGCTGCCTCTGAAGCGCGAGATGTTACAATTTTGGGAGATTTCAATATTAACTACTTGAATAAACATGAAGCTAAATTTCTCAGCGATTCTATTAAAGCATACAATTTGTCAATAACCAATAAGTCGATACCGACATACAACTCTAAAAACAGCCAATCCATTTTAGATAACATTATAGCAACCAAATCTCTTTGTAAAGAATTTTTTGTAGCAGAACCACCTATAAACACGGATCATTTAATAACAATGTGTATTAGCAAACTAAAACAATTCAAAAAAGCCATTCCAATTCGAACTTTTCGCTTCAACGAAACCAATTTTTGTAAAAATAGGTTCTGCGAGGAACTTAAACAGAGTCCATGGTTTCTCGTCTACCAAGAAAACGATGTCTCTAAAATGTTAATAAAATTTGAAGATATTTTCTCGCATGCCCTAAACGCTCACGCACCACTAGAGCAGAAGTATATCCGAAATAAACCGCAGCTACAGCTGTCTGGTAAAGTACTTAACTCAGTCAATAGAACTTTAAAACAGGAAAAAGAAAATCTTCTAAAGGCATATCAATTATCAAGAACAGATGCCAATTTTGAAAACTATAAACGAATAAGAAATCAATACAACAATCATCTAAAACATTTATACAAGAAAGAGAAAACAGCCCAATTCAAAATGCTTGACTGTCCAAAAAAAACAATGGAATTTCATAAACTCTAAAAAACAGACAGCAATTGACAATAGTAAACGGCGAACACTCAGATTGGCTTAAATTAGAGCAAGTTGTTCCCCAAGGTACTGTACTAGGACAACTGCTGTTCAACTTGTATGTAAATGACTTGCCACAAACAATAGACAAATCATGTACGTTAGTACAATATGCCGACGACTCTGCTTAGTTTTCATTCAGATCCCGAAACAGCAACAAAGAGCATTGAAAACAATTTCAATAAAATTCTCTTGTATTTTCACTTAAATCGATTAATGATTAATGTAGACAAAAACCAGTTCATTGTATTTTCTGCACCGTCGAAAAAAAAACTAACTGAAACTCTTTCATTGAAAGGTGGAAACTATCAAGTTAATTTAACAGAGACAGTTAAATTTCTCGGCTTCAATATTGACATAAGCTTAACATTCGACAAAGAAATCAACAAAATTTTACAAAAATTGGTTACAGCAATCCAAACGATAAAATGCATCCGAGACGAAATCCCTCTGCGTACTAGAATTTTGGCGACACTATAATTGAAAATAAGAAGAAAGCAAATTTCCTTAACTACAGGTTCTCAACATTAGGAGAATACAAAAACGCAGATCCTCCCATAGATGTACCAACTGAGTACAGTGTACACAGCAAAACAAATAGGCCCTTTCAATTCAGGTTCATAACTCACAAAGAAATGAAAGATGCAATTTTATTACTTCCCTTAAACAAGCCATTAGGACCAAGCAAAATCCCTGCTTGGGCTCTAAAAGACAGCATTAATACTGTAAACCCAATTCTTACGATAATTATCAATGAATGCATCTCGAAATCCGTATTCCCATATACTTTAAAAAAGGCACACTTTTTTCCCATATTCAAAAAAGGCGACTCGACAGATCCAGTAAATTATCCTCCAATTTCTATTACACCCACTCTATCGAAGTTGTTTGAAAAAATTTTTTCATCCCAAATTCACGAATTCTTAGCAAATTCCAATATTCTAAATCCAAAACAATTTGGCTTTTGTCCAGGTTATTTAACTAATGATGCTCTTTTATACACAACAGAAAAAATCAGATTCCATCTCGATAAAAATAACATAGCAGCGACTGCATTTCTTGATTTATCTAAAGCATTTGATTCACTCTCTCATTCAGTCCTTGAAAGGAAACTAAGTCACATTGGCTTTGAACAGTCAGCAACAACTCTTATTAAGTCATTTCTAGAAAACAGACAGCAATTGACAATAGTAAACGGCGAACACTCAGATTGGCTTAAATTAGAGCAAGTTGTTCCCCAAGGTACTGTACTAGGACAACTGCTGTTCAACTTGTATGTAAATGACTTGCCACAAACAATAGAC